TTTATTTTTCTCCAATGTAAAATTCTTTACATTCAAAGTCATCAATTGATTATATTCACTACATTGTCATTATCTTTTCTTTTACACTATTTTTTAATTAAATATCAAAATTATAATACAAAATAAGGCTATATATTTATTTACCAAGTATTTTATTAATACCATAAAAAAATAAAAAATATAATTAAGCAAATCATATTAACTACTTGGGAGATTTGTTAGCAAAGAGAGTATTCAAATCACACAACAAATTGAAGTGAAAAACTACATCGGAATGTCCTTGTTTGGCAATTAGCAGTTAGCGGTTAGCGTTAGCGAATTGTGTTAGAAGTTAGCAAATAGCAGATTATATTAACGGGTTTAACCAGCGAATTATATTAGCGGTTGGTAAAAATATATTTGAAAAGTTTAGCTGTTTAGATTAACATGTAAAATGACCTAAAGGTATAATAATAATAATAATAATAATAATAATAATAATAATAATAATAATAATAATAATAATAATAATAATAATAATAATTTAATAAAAGAAATAAAAAATTTAAAAATAAAACATATGGGGAGCCGAACGTTCGGCTCCCTTAGTTTTTTCACTATTCTCACATCGGCGAAAAAAGTGGCATGGGAGTCTTGAGACTCCTATAAAAGGAGCCTCAAAGCTCAAATTTAAAAATTAAGCTTGGATGGGCAAGTAGTGAGTCAGCCAAACTGGCTCTTGTTATTCAAGGAGTTGAAACAGTTCTGCAGTAAACATTGTTTTTAATACAGGGGAGTTTTGGGAAAACTTCAAAACGCTAAGTGAAAATATTGTAAATTGCAGTGTTTGTATTTTCAGTCGTTTGGAATAAATTATTGTTCTAAACTGTTGAATAACCAAACACTTTCTTTAGCATTTTGATCTTTGGATTACATTGTATTTACCAACCGTCTAATATCTTTGGATTACATTATCTTTGGGTTGAATTAAATATATACTGAGCAAACACCTGAAACACTGGTACCGTTGATTCATTCATTGATCTTGTATGTGCATTTATTAAATATATTAGAACTCTTTTCAATATAATGAATCTCTTATATTATCCTATATTAATATACTACTAGTAGTTGCACCCATGCGATGCACGGGTATATATATAATTTATATTATATTCAGTACAATATAATAAGATGAAAAAATATACATTTTCAAAACTTAATAAAATTGAAATGATGAATTTAGTAATTTTATTAGACATTGTTGAAGACTTCTTTGTTGAACCCATGCGATGCACGACTACCTATATAGTACATAGAATATTCCGTATAATATAATAAGATGAAGAAATATACAATTTAAAAGCTTACTAAATTTGAAATGATAAATTTTGGAATGTTATTACACATTGTTGAAGATTTCGTTGTACACAACATTTTTAGTCGTACTAAGATATGGTACATTTTCGCCACAAATCAAAATTTGCAAACCCCTTGGGTTACTAACTCTTGAAACAGTTACGTACAATTGGCCATGGTTAAAGACAAGTCTTTTCAACAGCAATCCCACTTTAGAAAGTGTTTGTTCTTGACTTTTGTTGATTGTCATGGCATAGGATAGCATCAACGGAAATTGCTTCCGTTGAAATTTGAAAGGCAATCTTGGATCTGACGGTGTAAGTGACATTCTAAGAATTAATACTCTTGTTCCTTTATTTGTACCGCACATGATCTTGGCTTCCAACATGTGATCATTTGTACCGCACATGATCTTGGCTTCCAACACGTGATCAGCTAACCTAGTAACAATCAACCTTGTACCGTTGCATAATCCGAGTGTGTGATCAATATTTCTCAAGAGCATAACAGGTGACTCAACTTTCAATATCAAAGCATGATTTGGTACTCCAGAACATCTCAGGCCATTCAAGAATTCGGGAGTGTGCAAATCTACTAACATATCAACATTTGAATCTGACTTACAAATAGAATCACAACTCAAGTAAGTCTTACCCTCAACCGGATTATGATCATTCATGTATTGGTTAATGCTATCTACCACATCCAATGTTGGAGCCAAAATAGCACTATCATTAAGATATGACAGATCGCCAATCCCCAGTCTAAAATGAGGGAAGGTACTATCAACAATTGTAGCAATAGTGTCATCCTCGCACTTCAGCAATAAATGTTCTGGAACTGTAATATCTGACTCACCATCACTTGAATTACCAACAGTTCCGTCACCTATATTAGCTATCCATTTTGCAAACTCCTCAATCTCTTTACCCGACCTCGATTTGTGATTGTACACTTCTTAGGCGTAGATTCTTAGTTAGCCTAAATACTTTGTAGGATTTCCAAAGATATGAGGAACTAATGCTCGCCCGAACAATATCATGTCTGGTACCCTTCGGAATTACTGGTAGAATCTGCCTGAAATCGCCACCAAAAACAATTGTTTTACCACCAAATGTCATTTCATAATTACTTGGATTTTTGAAGCGCAACAAATCCCTCATAGTTCGGTCTAGGGCTTCAAAACAAAATTTGTGCATCATTGGAGCTTCATCCCATATTATCAACTTGTGTAACACCCCCCGATTTCCATGCCAATTTAAACTTATATATGCAGATAATCTAAACACAATATAAGCAAATCACAGCGGAAGTCTAACTATATAAAACTGGAAAATGAAGAGTGTTATGCCACGTCCACACTAAGGTGAACGCACAGGCGAGAACAACATCAACATCATCAGTCTAACAAGGGACAAAGTCAAATCAACAACAATCTAATGTTCACCATAAAAGGCACACAGACCCATAACAAAGCTAATAAGGTCTGAGGGAACTACACTATCCATCACTAGATCGCGCTCGCCACTACTCGGGACCTTAAAAAAGCACATAAATAAATGGGACGACGCCCGGTCAGCGAATGATGCTGGTAACCCACCAATACATGTTAAGTATCATACCGTAGATAATATATAAAAAATCATTTTTGAAACGAGATACTATATATATATGTTCAAAGCCAAGGATAGAAGTCAACCACAAGACTCTATACCACTCTCAATAAGAATAAGGGAACACATCCCAAGACAACAAGAAGTAAACAACGAAGACATAAGTAAGGCTCAAGGTGTATTCTACCATCACTCAGTAGAATAGCACCCGACATGCTCAACACAAGAGAATAAAGACACATATTGGCAACACATGCCTTCGTGACATCACTCATCACAAATAGAGGAACACACAACGGCAACACATGCCTTCGTGACATCACACATCACGAATCGTAATCCTTCCTTATGCCCGATTCCAACCATATGGCTACCCCCAACCTTATAGTTAGTTCCAACCTTTACCTCCAGGACCCCTGTATATACAAGTCCAACCTTATTCCTCCGAGGACCGTCGTCCCCATCCACCAAAAAACCACTAGCAAGTTCCACCAATTCATAGTACACGAGAGTACCGATCACACACATGCCTCCCAAGAAATACGTGAACCCATCAAACAGGTCACAAACTCCATATTCGCGTCATGGCCACCACGAGGACCACTGCCGTACCTTGGTGACTAATGTCCCATACCATTAATCGTGCAATCCAGGTACAGCCAAACACACGACACCATCATAGGAATCAATCAACGGATCACAACGAAGATATGAAATCATACTCAACAAGGAAAGGATCACAATCCGACAACAACGATGATCAACACAAGTCATCATCCACAATAGGAAAGAACAAACCACACACGCTAGCATTAAAACACCGAACTAACATGCTTATCAAACGGGTAAACCAAACGTAGTTCTGAAGAACACACAAGACTCAACACGGTTCAACGAATCACAAGGTTGAACGCTTAGCACGATTCAAGACACCCAAAACCTACATAGAATCCTACCATATAGTTCTAGACATACGAAACATCAAGAAGACACTCAAATAGTTCCACAAAAGAACATCGGGAATTCAAAACACCAAATACCGGGTCAAAAGAATCACGGGGAACAAATCCCCGCCCAAGCCAACATCGTACCCCGCGGGTGGGCCCATGGGTGGACCCCCACCCGTGGTTCCGCCCGCGGGAACCATTCCCACACACAAACGTACCCTGCGAGTGGGGCGGCGGGTGGACCCCTACCCGACGTTCCGCCCGCAGGTACCGAACCCTGAACAAAAACATCCCTTCGGGATTTTCAACACCAAGCTCAAATTCAAGTCCAAAACATCCAAAATCTCACCAAATACAACAAAATGACTTGAATCAAAGGAATAGCCAAGCAATGACATACAAGAACCCTAATAACAAGATCTAGATATGCATTTTCACAAGACAATGTATCAACACTCACATTTCATAGCAAAATCACAAGTAGAATCCAAGAAATCATCATATAGGTAAGCAAAATAGATTTTGTAAAGCATGGGTTACCTCTTGAAGACTAAACCTTCACTTTTAACACCTCTCAAAGCCCTTAAGAAGGTTCACCTTCAAACCCCACTTCAAGAACACACCAAAAGACCATAAAGATCTCATCTTTAGAAAAAGATACCTTAGAAAACACTAAAAACACAAAAGGAACATAGACCTTACCCTACTAGATGCTCAAGAGTAGGAAAGGTGGAATCTTGGAGACAAACTTTGAAGATCTTGGAAAGCTCAAACTTAGCTTGGAGAGAAAGCTAGCTAAATTCTAGAGAGAAGGAAGAGTTTTATGTTTTGAGTGTGTTAGGAGAAGAATGAGAAATGACCTTAGGTTAGCTTGGATACAAACATGAGGTGTAAAGTCATCTTTACCCTTACTAAGATGAAAAAGTGTAATGGGACAAGGGAACTATTCACAAAGCTTTAGGTACGACACCTTGACTTGGGTTGACTAGTCAATTACTAGTCCCCGACTATTGAATTTTCAGGAATTTAAAGAATAAATTACCAATTGGATTAGGATTAATTAGTTAATTAATCCCTAAATAGAATTTGGATTTGCGGGGTGTCACAACTTGCTTTGAACAATAAGCTCTGCTAATGGACTGCCGTGGCTTATGTTGCAAGTGGAATTTTCATTAACATATATCGATATGGCAAACCGAGAATGTGCAGTTCTTCCACTTGGTAATAAAAGCGAAGCTATGCCGCTAGATGCAACATTTAACACTATTTCCCTCTTAGACCTTAAAGCGGAGGACAATGCTCGCCACAAAAACGTCTTACCAGTCCCTCCATAACCATAAACGAAGAATAACCCGCCAGCTTTGTGAGCAATATCGGTTAACACCTCATTGTATATGACCTTTTGCTCTTCTGTTAACTGCCTTACCAATTCCTGGTTCTCTTTCTCCTGATCCACACAGTCATATGATAATTCTTCTTGTATAAGCCTGTTTGATATAACATTAAAGACCTCAAAATTTGCCGTTGGCATTTCAGAATAGTCCTTTAAACTCTTACCATGAATTGATAACAGCTTTTCAATCTCCTCTAAAGCAAAGTTCATCTTGTGAGATTCTGTCAACACAAAATCTGCATAAGTTTATATAAAAATATACTAATTAAGTTAACCACGTTAAAGCTCAATTGATATTTTGTTAGCAATATAACAAAAATAATCTGTAGAATGTATGTATACCTCTACTGTGCAATTGTTTGCGGATTTGGAAATGTGCATCATCAGACAATTGTGGCCACACAGCATTCCAAACTGTTTCCGGTTTACCCATGCAACTGCTCATTAGCAACGTAACAAATAATCTCCTCAACTGATCTCCTGACGCCCAATGATTGGCTTCATCTATTGCATCAACATATTCGTTATCATCATCAACTAAACCTCTTGCATAACACACATCTCGAAATGAGGCATAGTGGACACCGTTTACAGTCCTAATATCTGCATAACTTGTAGGGACACGTATTTTATTCAACAAACACCTCAAATAAAAGATTTCTCCAGTCGCAGGCGGGACATAGAAGATCCTTCCGATTGAGAACCCTTTTTTCCGTGGCTGCCATTTCTAAGGTCTTTCTTCCACACGAATCTTGTTGGCATCTCAACATAAGTAAGCTCTCTTGCATCTGGGAATGTCTTATTAGCCTCAAACCATTCCAAGAACAAGTTCTGTGCTATAGTGGGTCTATTAACAATGTTCTCAACAGGATCATCATCTGCAAACACCACACTCTGTTGATTAGGGAGGTGAAAGCTTAACCTTTCCATTGAAGGAGCCCTAAGCTGTATATCAAAACCAAACAAACGCCAAACCGCTTCACATGAGGATATGTACCTACAGTCAAAGTACATATTAATCTCATCTATGACTTTTCCATTCTCTTCATCATTGCTTGTTTTGTAGAATTCGGCTGTTACCCGATCATGACCCTTGTTAACATACTTGAACAGGTACTTGATTAAGCGTGACTGGTTGCACCACTCGACATTTATATGAGCCTTGTACTTAAGTAATAAATGTCTATTGTGCGGTACCACATATCTGTTGTCCAACGTGATCCCGTTCTTTGTAACTATATTGCCGTTGTCTCTCCGTCTATATACCGGATAACCATCGTCATCAAATGTAGAACACTCAACAAATCTCTTAGGAAAATGTTTTGAACATCGTCCATTTACCATACATGGAGAATTGCTCCTTGTTTTTCCACATGGACCATGCATCATAAATTCCTCTACAGCTTTGTAATATTCTACATCTGTATTTTCATCTGGTATCTCAGCGGAAATGATTTTGTCTAGAGTAACCACTTGACTAACTTCTTTAGTTTTCCCCAAAAAAAGCAATATATGAGCATGCAGAAGACCTCGCTTTTGGAACTCAATTGTATATATAACTGCAACATAATAGCAATAACCAAATAAAGAGAAGGGAATTTATGCTAATTTTAAAGAAATTGGTGTAAGACTAAACAAAAAGATTACCTCCAGCCACAGAGCCAAAAAGTTTATTCTTTCGACAATCAGTTATCAAGGAATCCAACTTCATCTTGAATAAACGGCAAATTATGTCATGTCGGTCTTCTGCTTTCAACCTTCGATCTTTTAAAAAACATTGCACCTCTGGCCACTTTGGGTTGTATGTAAACATTATAAATAAATCTGGGTATCCAATCCATCTACATATTGCCATGACATCCTGGTAGTTTTGTATCATGTATCGAGCTCCGCGTGTAAAACTTGAAGATAGTATTATTCTCTGATCTTGTGCTGCAGGGTTTACTTCACCCCTGGTTAAAGCGTCGGTCAACCCACTGTATGTTTCACACCTTAGGCTTTTTTGGTGTGTCCTGATATAAATGAGTCTTCCTGACTCAACCATTGTGTATTCATCAACAACGAACTGTTGGAACAACCGCTTTGCAAATAGAATGGTACTCTGAACAGAATTTCGAGACTGTATGCGATAGCAAAAAAACTCCCTGGGGCTGATCCTGTGTCTACCACCAGTGGAACGGTTGCCGAGTACGTTCGAGAATGCAATGTCTTCCCGATAACCATCTTCACCATATGGAAACAACAACGGGTATTGCAGTGGCAGGTAGGAAGGATTTAATTCACTGATTCTCTGCAATTGCCCACCCTTAGCTTGAACCACAATATCACGCTCACCAATACTGGTATCAAGATCTCCAACTATTAAAGCTGATACTTCAGACATTTGCGGTAGATTGTATGTCCTGGCATCTTTAGTGCATTTTCCCAACAACTTAATTTTCACTTCAACGCATGTATTACTATCAAGCTAAGACATAGCCATCCGAAATGACTTAACCAAAACATTATTCTTATCTAGCTCCCTCTGAATGACATTCACTATTTCTACATGAATGTCATCTTGCTCACCAACACCCCTAAAAGAAGGAAAAATATGCATTGATAAGGATCTCAATAAAAATTCGTAGGTTTATTGTACTAAGCGCAGTTTGTTTAACTAACAGCATTGATACGGTTGTTCTTTTTATTTGTTGTGTCGTATATGTACAACTGGGCAAAATGTGGTGGTTTGCCTTCTTCTGGAAGGAGACTGCGCATTAGATGATAGTTTTGTCCACTTAATCGGAAAACAGGTGGTCCGTCGCCCTTGTTCACGCTCGTGTCTATTTTACCGCTCATTGATGTGAAGCAGAACATGTTGTTGTAGGTTCTGATGTTTTGGAGAAATTTTCTTGATAATTCGTCATTGCCGTAAAATAGATCATATATACCTTTTGGTGGTAACGTAATCGCTGGCAACTTAATCTTCCCATTGTTGTAGCACAACGAAAACATCGGAGAACCTTTAGTGGAATAATTTTTCTTCCTTTCTTTGAACCAAAACAACGCCCCACAATGGGCGCAAATATTGGTTGCATAACCCAAATCACAATACTCATCTGCAATGAAATGAATTTTTAATAGGCGTCCAGAAAATGTTGACAACTATATTAGGTATGAAAGTTTGATACATACCATGTGCAAACCCAGAGGATGTTGCAATATCGAAGTTTCGCCGTCCATCGTTAATCGTTAGGCCGAAATATGAATTGACTAAAGTTAATATTAATTGGGCAAGGTCTTTTTTCATACTTTGCTGGCATTCATTTCTACCTGACACAGTTCATATTATTACCTGTTATGCCATTATTGGCTGTTTCGATAAGTAAAGTGATAGATTCCTCTTCAAACGCCGATAACAAGTCTCTTTTTACGACATGATCTTCTTCAATTGGAGAGTTATGTTAAGGTTGACGCATTGCTACTTTATCTTGTGCGCTACAACCTATATTGAACACAATAATAAAAGAAACAATTATCTTTTACTTGATAATATTCAAAATTATATAAGATATGAGTATAGAAAGTTACCAGTTAAGCAAGATGTTGTTATGGTTGATAATGGTTTTTGGAACTCTCCAAAAATAAAATGCTTGCAATTGCTTGAGCCTATGTGTATCTTGCACGTACCTACTGTAAACATACATAATATTTTACAGTACAGATATCTTAGTCAACTGTAATACAAAAAAAAGAATTTGACAATCATTTTTTAAAAAATACAACTATATGGATATTTAAAGACACATGAAATTTATATCGCTAAATTGTAGGAGTTTTACCGTTAGTGATGTTACTCAGTGGTGTGATATTCTGAGTCAAACACCCTCCAATAGAACATCGTGTACGAATACTTGCAGTACTTTGCTCTGTACCTTGAGCATCATTATTCGTTGATGATGAATTTTCTATATTCTCTGTGATATACAATATAACATTATAATTTAAAATAAAAAATAACATAAGTAACAATCTTATCAATTTAGTACACATTACATAATTAATTAGACTATTGTACAACCGAATTTTGTAAGTGCTAAAAATAAGGACAACATTATAAGGTAAATTATTGGGGGTAAAATGGTACACACAATTGTGTGGACTATGAATATCATGAACATTTTTAATATTTAAAAAATAATTACATTATTTTTGTAATGAAGGTACATGTAATAAAAGATCCTTATAGCTAAAAGTTTATATATTATATAAAACATCTAGCACTATAGTTCAATCTACATTTAATTTCTTTTTTATATTTATTATATAAATTAACATAATATATATATTTAATAGGGTTAGCATTACAATAATACACTTAGATATTCTAGATCATTCCATTTTGTAATAAATATAAGTAAGAATCAGTAGCTTTCAATATATATATATATATATATATATATATATATATATATATATATATATATATATATATATATATATATATATATTGGGAAGGGTTCATGTGCGGGTATAGCTTCCCGTGCGGTTGTGCGGTTAGATTTGAATCATTGATCAAATCAAGATCAACGGCTCAAATCAATGAAAATTTAAAAAAAAAAACGCGTGTCTAGAAGAAAGCCACACACCTTTAAGTGTTAGATCTTAAGCACAAACTCACGCACATTAAGTACAAAACCCACGCACATTAAGCACAATCTCACGCACATTAAGCACAAAACTCACGCATTTAAGTATTAACTCACAGACCTTAAGTTTCAACAACTACTGACATTAAGCAAAAACTCACGCATATTAAATACAAAATCCACGCACATTAAGCACAATCTCACGCACATTAAGCACAAAACCCACGCACTTTAAGTATTAACTCACAGACTTTATGTTTCTACATGTTAGCAATATTATTATTATTACTATTGTTAGTTTATTATTATTATTGTTATGTTGACTTGTCTTTGTAATAGGCTTAGTCTTCCTACTTGATAGGGGTTACTTAGAGTTGTTACAGTATTTGAATTGTAATCCTTATCGTTGTCACTGTTGAATGGAAAACTGATTATCTCATTTGGTATCAGTTAGACTAGGGAATTTATTTTTTTCTCTCTCCTCTCACCACCCTCTGTCGATCCTTTCCCCAAAACAATCGACTAATCGTCGATATGTCCACCAATTCTTCCGAGCGCACTATTACCGGCGGTGGAACCCCCTCTCCGGCCTCAAGCCAAAATTCCTTAAACAGTGCTCACCATTTTGTTTCGATAAAACTCACTTATCAAAATTTTTTGTTTTGGAGAACCCAATTGGTTCCATTTTTACGTGGTCAGGAGCTCATGGGATTTGTCGATGGCGAGAATCCGTGTCCTCCCGCGCTGATCGACGCTCCTCCGGCCACCGGTGAATCCACGGCCTCAACCTCTACTCCGGTCCCAAACCCGGCGTAAAAGGCGTGGATCAAACAAGATCAAACGCTGCTTTCCCTTCTCATCTCATCCCTCTCAGATGAGGTGATGCATTTGGCGGTCGGCAAATCCACCTCCAAAGATGTCTGGGAAGCGATCAACGCTGGCCTCGGCAGCTCCACCGGCGCGCGCACACTGGGTCTCCTCGGCCAGTTTCACGGCCTGCGGCAAGGCGACAGTAGCACGACGGAATATCTAGGCCGCGCCCAGCTGTTAGTCGAGGATCTCGCCCACGCCGGTCGCCCAATATCGCTGGATGAACAGAATATGTTTGTTCTCCGGGGATTGCGTCCAGAATACCGTGCGATGGCCTCATCGCTCACGGCGTCCGGAAATTCTGTAACTATTCCGCAAATTGCTGATTATCTTCGCGCTCAAGAGTTTCTGCATGCTGATGATTATCCTGCAGGTTCTGATCACGGTTCACCAACTGCGTTTTACGCTGGCAGGGGCAGAAACTCCAGTCGCGGCAGTGGCAATTCTGGCCATAATTCCGGGCGTGGCAATGGAGGACGCGGAAGTGGCAGTCATGGCAGAGGCGGCAGGGGCGGTCGGAATGGTGGTCGCGGCAGGGCTCCTCGGTGTCAAATCTGCCGTGCACAAGGGCACACGGCAGTTTATTGTTACAAGCGGTATGCCCCGCAACTGCCGGCGCAGGCGAACCTTGTGGTTCCCGGAGAAGAAGAAGGCAGTACGGCTGCATCAGGTTGGTTCCCGGATACGGGGGCTACCGCCCATGCCACGCCAGATGCGTCGATGATGACACAATCGGATGAATATACGAGTGGTGATGTGCTGCGTGTTGGTAATGGCGCAGGTTTGACGATCTCACGAGTTGGCCATGCTTCTATACCATCTTTGTCTAAAACACTAAATCTAACTAATGTCTTACATGTTCCTAAACTTTCCGTCCTGTTATTATCTGTTTATCGTTTAACGAATGATAATCGTGTTTTTGTTGAATTTCACAAGGATTGTTTCATTGTGAAGGATTCGGTCACTCGGGCGGTTCTGCTTAGAGGTTTCACATAGGGCGGTTTGTACAAGCTCCCGGTCTCGCAGTCTCAGTTTGCTTTTCTCACATCCTGTGCTACACCGGTCGTCTGGCACCGCAGGTTGCGCCATCCCCATGCACATGTCCAGAATCAAGTCCTAAAATGTTGTCCCGTTACACCTAATAAAACCGTACCGGGCGGGTTGTGCAATTCATGTCAACTTGGCAAGTCATCAAGATTTCCTCTAGATAGAGTTTCATTATCTAGTAGTAATGTATTAGATTTGATTTATACGGACATATGGGGTCCGGCTCCTGTAATCTCTACTAGTGGATTTCGCTATTTCCTGCTTTTCGTAGATGATTATTCCCGATTTTGTTGGTTTTATCGCCTACGGATAAAATCGGATATATATAAAAGTTTCGAGTCGTTTTGAGTCATGGTAGAACGCCAATTTTCGCGTTCTATCAAATCTGTTCAGTCTGACTTAGGCGGCGAATACCGCAAGTTACATCACACATTCGAAAAGTTAGGCATTATTCACCGCCAATCATGTGCGTATACGCACGAACAAAATGGTAGAGTTGAGCGTAAAAACCGCCACATAGTTGAAACAGGACTAGCTTTGCTAGCTGAAGGCTGTGTCCCGCAACAATACTAGGACTATGCTTTTGAAACGGTGACAACTCTAATCAATTATTTACCCACTACAGTCTTAAAATCTGAGAGTCCATACACTCGTCTCTACAAAACCAAGCCACCATACTCCTTTCTCCGTGTCTTCGGGTGCCGTTGCTATCCCTATCTTAGGCCCTACAACCGGCATAAGATGGACTTTCGCTCGGCGCCCTGTGTCTTCCTAGGTTATCCACCTTCCTTTAGGGGGTATAGGTGCATGGATTTAACAAGTGGGAAAGTCTATATCTGCCGTCTTGTGCAGTTTGATGAGACTGTTTTCCCTTTTTCAGAGTTAACAGCTACAAATGCAGGTTCAGTGATATCTGCCGCCCCACCCTGGGCTGCTGCTCCAGTCATAACTCACTCATCACCCACAGCTTTGATGGACTCCGGCTCACAAAGTCCACTAAGCCCAATGCCTTTGGCGCAAGAGTCAACTCCTCTGGCTATTGAAAGGCCTGTCAGGGCCGTGACTCGCAAAAAGCGGGCAGCTAGAACAGAGCCACAAGATCGTGGTCATACTATGCGCCTGCTTCACATGACTCGGGGAACAAGGGAAGAGTTTCAAGCTCTCAGCGCTATCACTGAGCCCTCTTGCTATTCCCAGGCAGTTGGGCACCCAGAGTGGCGTGATGCGATGGACCAGGAGTTCAACGCTCTGTTGCATAATAACACATGGGTTCTTGTACCTCCCACACCAGATATGAACATCATCGGGTGCAAATGGGTGTTTCATACCAAACGCACCGCTGATGGTTCAGTAGAGCGGTACAAAGCTCGCCTTGTTGCGAAGGGCTTCAATCAGGTGACTGGTGAAGACTTCTTCGACACGTTTAGCCCGGTGGTCAAGCCGACTACAGTCCTGCTCCTGTTTTCGCTAGCTGTGTCACGTAATTAGACCCTGAGGCAGCTTGATGTCCATAATGCCTTTTTAAATGGACACTTGGCGGAAACAGTCTACATGAAGCAACCCCCGGGTTATGAAGACCCGACACACCCAGATCACGTGTGTCACTTACAGCGATCTTTGTATGGGCTCAAGCAAGCCCCCCGAGCGTGGTTCAAAAGATTGCATGACTATTTAATCTCTGCAGGTTTTTTTATCATCGAAGACAGATGTATCTCTTTTCCATTACTCTTCTGCTGCTTCACGCGTCTACTTGCTAGTATACGTTGATGATATTATTATGATGGGGAATGACTCATCACTTATTCAATCTCTCATGCATCGGCTTTCGTTGGTTTTTAAAATCCGAGATCTTGGAACGCCCGGATTCTTCCTCGGCATTGAGACGATAAAAACTGGCACAGGGCTCATGTTGTCCCAACGCAGGTATATGAAAGATATTTTGGCCCGAGCAGGCATGACTGACTGCAAACCTCTAGCTACCCCGGCTGCGGTTTCTCATTTTATCTCATCTACCACTGATGCACATGACAACCCGACTCAGTATCGCCGTGTAGTTGG